AAAAAAAAAAAAAAAAAAAAAAAAAAAAAAAAAAAGACAGGGTCTTGCTAAATTGCCCAAGCTAGGTTCAAACTTGCAATCCTCCTGCCTCAGCCTTACAGCATGATGGGATGGGATTATAGGTATGCCTGGCTGTTATCTCCCCTTAAAAACTCTGACAGGATACATTAAAGACTTTACTAAACCTCAGTTCTAATCACAGACCAGCAAACTAGGAATGCTCTGCTTGGCCAAACTTCTGCACCATCAAAACCATTTATAAAACTACTTTCCACCTGAGCACCTACCTATTGATAGTGAGTAGTTTCTAAGGCATTCTGGAAATACCTTAAGAATGAAAGACTAATTTTATGGACAGCTCTAATAGAAGTCAACTCGGACACAAATTAGGTGTCTCTGCTTGGTCTGGACGGTGAATCCAGAAACACATGTTTTCAAACATAACATAAAGCATAGTATATCTACTGATGCACTAACAAAATCATAACCACTCAACATCAAATATGCTTAAAGCCCTGCAATTTAACCAATTACATCAAAATGTAATTATTAGGTTCTAAAACATCAATATTAAGATTTTTTAAAAACTTTTATAAAGATCAGAGAAAGAAGACAAAAAAGTGAATGGAAGTTTTCCAAGGATTAGTTTCCAATTAAATAAATCTAGTACCACTTACGAGCCTCCGATGATATAGTTGAATCCAAGGATAACCCAAGGTAAATAACAGGCCTAGGAAAGAACATACACAAACATAAGCAGCCACACGTGAAGAGGACAGAGCTGTAAAGGGACTGAAATGGAAATGGATACACTGACAAGGGCTTTACATAAATTCTTTGGGAGGTCACTATAACCTTAGATCAATCCAGCAGCATTTTTACTATACTTAAAACTTCATAATTAAAATTGTATTTATTTGTGTACTTGTAACTGGAAAGCAGAATGCATTCCCCACAGTCCAGAAGCAGCACAGGCCCTGCTGGATTCACATTAACAAGACTCAGAAACCAGACAAGCATCTTATGGATGCTACCAGAAATACAGTCATGACAGAGGCACAGGCAGACTCCAACCAGCAAACCATAACAAATACTTACCCTGAATTTTTAATTCACTACATAAGACAATTCTGTAGATGGTATTCCACATGTGGGACACCTATTACATTTAAGACCTGATTATCAAAGGCTAGGGATGTTGCAAGGATCTTCACAAACCAGTAAAGAGTTGCACCTAAATAACTTAGGTACTCAGCTAAGTACTACAAGAACAACACAGGGCAAAAGCCCAAAGCCAAGACTAACTAGCTCCAGGCAAGAGATGAAAAATACAGTGTATGTTCAGGGCCATAAGGGGTGGGACATATACAAGGAAGAAAGAGAATCAAAAAGTTACAAGTTCAAAAATTGTGAGATCAGGTATAAAGGGAAGTGTTTAGAAGGAAAAAAATCTGTTTTGCTAAAATGTTAAACACATATAGGAAGTAAAGGAATAAGAACGGATTTTAAATGGCAATGTTTCACACACACACACACACACACGCACGCACGCACGCACGATCACTAAAGGACATAGCCCTGAGGGGCCTGAGAAGCCAGGGAAGTGACACAGTCAGCTTCAGCAGAGCTCTGAGTGACCACAGGAGGAAAGAGGCCTGCCTGTGGTACACTGCTCTGCAGTGCCCTCTCCTGGCTGAGTCAGGAAGTGCATCTCTGGACTTCAAGAGAGCTGCAGACAATGAAATTTTTCCAGCTAAGGTCAAGTACCTTAAATCTTGTTCCAAACCAAAATGACACAATCATGTCTCTGTTCAGCTGGGCCCAGACATAAAGTACTGACATAATCAGAGGAATCATCAGCAACTGCAAAAGAAGTGACAGGTAAAAAACCCAGCTCCAACAATACACAGTTTGAAAAAAGGCTTACCATGAATCTACTATGCTTTTTATTCTTCCTCTCCAAAAACAATTTCTCATATGAACACTCAAAAAGAAAAAAAAAAAATTCAACCCATAAGAATTATAAATTGATCCCATTATTTAACTTATACAAAGAGTGCTACAAAGCCCCATAATAAATTACAATTACATTTTTAGATGGACTCATAAGACAAGCTGTTATTTGCACAAAATAGGCTTTACTTGCCATGTATCTCAATTTTAAAGAATCCTCACATATACTTAAAAAATATTGCATGCCCATTAATTTCAATATTCAAACATAAAACAAAATCCAGAAATGGAGCAAGAAAAACAATGATTTAGATAAGTCACATGAGCTTCAAAAATTCAGCTGACTTAAAAATCTTCATAATTAAACATCATTCTGCAAGATCAAAATACCACACATTAATCACACAGTACCATTTCAACTTCTAACAAAGTGAGCAAGTCTCAATCACATGAAAGGCAGACAGTTTAAAGGGACACTTACCTGCATATCCATTGCCAAACCAGTTATCTTGAGTTGTGAAGTTAAAGATCATATAATAAAATATATTCAGTACCTAGCCAGTCTGTTATTTCCCCATTGAAACATTAATTCTATTCCAATGTTCTCAACGAAAACAGTTTTCTGTCATTCAGGTTACTTAAAACATCTGAGAACACAAAGGTTCTAATCATCTTAATCATGAATACTCCACTAGACTATACCACAAGGAGATGCAGAAATGAACAGCCTCAGCATGACTCAGTAAATCAGGGGTCCTCTTTTCCATGCTTGCCACAGTGTTTTAGCATCTCTCTCCTTCAAGTAGAGGGTGGAGATAACTGTGCACCTGAAACACATAATGACTCAACTCACACTCAGGGCTCTATAGCATAGTTGAAGGCCAAAACCATTTTTTTTTCAATTCTTTCAAAGGCGAGGAAGGAATATCCAAAGTCCTAAGTTTTTTGGCTCTTGGCCAACTTAAAAAAATAATAATAATAAAAGCTGAGTCCACAAGCAACTATGAGCTCACTAACTCTGCCCAGGATGCGAGCCACCGAATTCTGCTGTTTGCACCATCTGCAAGAGTCCCACAGTTGGAAGGGTGCTGACAACTGTGGTTGATGCAAAGCAGAGAAATGGACTGTGGCCAAAGCCTTGTGTTTTCACAGGGTACTTTACAGGAGGAATGAATTACTACTGAGGACCCCAAAAGAAAGAAAGCAATAAAGTCAGAAAATGACGCTAGTATAAATTAATTTTCTGATAAGGACCACAGGTTTCTAAAGCTGTCTCACAGCACAGAATCTCTTTGTGCTTCAATCAACAAGCTGTCACCCCTGAGAACACAGAGAACTGAGAACAAGAAGGAACAGTAACAAAACTCAGCCAAATGTGAAAAATTCCCACAAACGCAATGGTGAGAGGATTTATCATTCATGGTACATGATCTACTAGCGCTTTTAGAACTTTAATTATTCTTGTTAACTGTAGTAAACAAAGAATGAATACTAATTTGAAATTTTTATAGAATACTGTCTATTTCCCCAAATCTGGGGGAGAAAAAAAAAAGGTCCATTTCTGACCCAAAATGACAGGGAAGGATACCACGATGCAAATCCAGTTAAAGAGAAGCATGAATAAATAGTCTGCTGGCCTCCCATCAAAAGCTCCTGTAAATAAAAATAAGCCAACATCATGGTTCAGAATTTCAGAGCAAAGTAATGTCTACAAAGAAAAACACTTCAAACACTTAAGAGAAAACTATACTGAGAATATATTTTAAATCACTCCTCTCAAGAAAAGTGAATTTTTGCAAACATCTAAACCATGTCAATAAGGCCCTGAACCCAAAGCATCTCAGTAAGGCTCCCCGATGCTCTCCTGACTTCTCAGTCACACACTCTGACTACCATCCTGATTCCAGAGCTACTGACCCCCAGCCCAAGCATGGTGAGGCCCCCCTGGACTCCCTCCCACTCTGTTGGCCCTTCCTCTGTGGTCCTATCAGGATGTGATGGACACGTGACTAACTGGGTAATGCCTGTCTTCCACCCAGGACCATACACTTCTCAGGAAGGAAGCACATTTGTCCCACCTACGACTGTATATTGTTATCTCCTCCAGCATGACTATGCTGGAACACCTTGTCACTACTTTTACTTCTGTCAGACATACACACACATACACACACATGCACACACGCAAAAACACCCAGCTCCAGGCACAGCTACTGAGAAAATTCCACCTCTCTCTTCCAAGTACTTATGTTCCAAGAAAGGGAAGTGCTCAGAGAGGAAAAGAGACACACTCAGCCATACCTTTCCACAGAGTCACTGCCAGACACAAACTATACCCCCTTTTACAGGAAAGCAAGTAGTCACACAGCTACTAAAAGCAGAGTAAAGTCTAACTATTGGTTTACTGCTCTGTCACTGCACCATTAAACAGATTCTGTTTTATTAATGGCCAAAATAATCAACAGCTCAGCTCTGTCTTCTGTAGATGACTCTTAATGCCTTCAGTTCAAAGGTTTTAAGAGAAGCAAAGAAACAAATAACTGTAAGATCACTCTAGCTTACAAATTTCCTCTCCTCTGCTCCACACTCTACCACAGTTACATGATAAAGCTAGTCAATAAAAAAAAAAGCCTGAATAATCAGACAGATGGAAGGGTGCAGTGCCTAAAAAGAGACCAGGTTTCCCACAAAAGCTCCCTACTCTCCTTTGTTTCTTCCTTGTTACCTCAAAGGGACACCTCAGCCACATGAAGGGTGCTCACTGCTGAAAGGTCACTGTGACAGATCAGAGCTGAGATTCCAATGCTCCAATCCCTATATAAAATGGTATATACCACTTGAATACAACCTGCACACATCCTCCCACATATATTAAATCATCTCTAGATTACTTACACTACCTAATACAATGTAACAGTTTTATAAATAGTTGTTATACCACATTAGGAAATAATTAAAGGAAAAAAGTCCATACACAATCAGTTTGGAATTGATTTTTTTCATTTGTTTAAATATTTTCAACCGCAGTTGTTGAATCTGAGAATGTAGAACCCATGAATTCAGAGAAGCAACTGTCTATCTCGTTAGAGTTGCTTTCAAAATACCTTCAGACAGGCATGATGACCCACACCTGTAATCCCTGCACTCTGGGAGGCTGAGACACGAGGATCCAAAATTTAAAGCCAGGCTGGGCAACTGGCTGAGACTCTGTCTCAAAATAAAAATAAAAGGATTGGGGATGTAGCTCAGTGTGGACCCTGGGTTCAATCCCCAATAAAACATCACAAAGCTTCTCAGCTCAAGCATTTCAAACTGCTCTGTGGGCAGGGAATAAAGAACGAGAGGGCAACTTCTATGAATCAAAGTAAACAAAAGAGGCCAGTGACCTAATAATACCATGGATTTTTCTTAAATGTTATTCAGGTAGAATAATATTAAAAATTCAGTGTATTATCTAGTACAGTGTATTATCTAAGTACTAAGTAATCAAGAAAAAAACAAGTAAAAAGTAGTCAAGGAATTACTGCAATTTAGATTTAATCTTAAAATAGTATTAGAAAGATTAATTTTCTCTATTTTGGAGGTAAATACTGAAAGATTTACAAATGCAACAACATCATGCCCAGCATTTTGTGGCAAGAAACAGAGGTGAGGCAGCCATCAAAGACTTGCTAGAACATAACAGACGTAGGTGAGAGTCAAAGGGGTTCGCACATCACAGTGTGCATGAGTTAAAACTATGAAAGCAGTGAGTCACAAAAGGCCAAACGAAATGCCCAAATAGGCAAATCCACAAAGAAGGTAGATTAGTGGTTGCCAGGGCCTGGAAGAGGGGAAAGCGGGAACAGAGAATGCCTGCTTAAGAGTTCTGAGGAGTGCTGAAAGCATTGTGGAATTAAATTGTGATGATATTTGCATGACATTGTGAATATACTAAAGATCACTGAATACATTTTAAAATGGCTAAAATGGTGAATTTTATGTGAATCTGATCTCAATAAAAAGAAAAAGGCTCACTGAACTTTTTCTTTATTTTTATGTTTAAAGGTTTGCTATAGTAAAGGTTTAAATAACTGGTCGCAGATCATCCACACTTAATCTATAGTTTACTACTTTTTTTTAATTACTCTGACAACTTAATCCTCAATTATACCAGAAAAGCAAAATGCTAAGCAAATCAAAAGCATAATCAGATACTGATGGAAAAAGGGAGAATGAAAATCACTATTCTGACAGACTCAGATCAAGCCTGATATGGTTTCCTCTCAGCTGACCGAATAACCTTCCTCAAATCTGCTCTTCTGTAAGGCTCAGAAAGCTGGTTTGATCCCTCCCCAAAGGGTACAGTCTATGGCCCCACATTTTGTATTAATGTAGTGATTTCTTTTCTTAAAATAAAACAACTCATACCTAATGTCAGTTTAAGGAAAAGTTAATTTGACACCAATGCTCATCCTACTATTTCCCTACAGTTGAGACTAATTCACAATTTTCAAACATATGAGCACTGAGTTAGCATTAAGAGTCAGAATTCCCCAGCCTAAGCTAACAGCCAGCAGGCTGAGTCTCTGAAGTCAGCTAAACTTTTCAAAGTCATTTCAGCTTAACAAAATCACATTCCCACTAAGACAGTGTATTTATTGATTTATTGCTTCTTAGTATAAGCAACTCAGGATGGCATATAAGGAAGGAACTGTTGGAAATAACAATTCAGTAAGATATTTTTAAGAAAAGATTTTAACAGGTTATCCATACATCATACTGTACAACATACATCTGATAAACTACCATATTATTAAATCCTGACACACTCTCTCTCCTCTCTCTCTCCCTCTCTCTCTCTCTCTCTCTCTCTCTCTCTCTCTCTCTGTTCTGG